CCCCTCGTCCTTCTCTTCATTAAACTAGACATACCCAGTTCCAGCAGCCTTTCCTTATATGCTTTAGCCTCCAGTCCCCTAATCATCTTTGTTGCTCTTCTCTGTACTCTTTCTAGAGTCTCAACTTCTTTTTTACATCGTGATGACCAAAACTGGATGTAGTATTCCAAGTGTGGCCTTACCAAGGCATTGTAAACTGGTAATACTATATGTGTGTATATATATATATGTGTATACGTATATGTGTATATATGTATGTGTATATGTGTATATGTATGTATGTATGTATGTGTGTGTGTGTGTGTGTGTGTGTGTGTATATATATATATATTTTCTTTTTATTTACTAACAAATTCTCCACAAAATTGATACTTGGTTATCAAGCTAAAGCACCTGATTGCACTGAGGAGATTGCTTCTACACCTCAAAGAGAATGATTAAAAAGTTGGAAACTTCAAGGTTAACATCTTCACAATTGGATAGAATCGCCTGATGAGCTGCATGCAGATTCAGAGGAGGAGTGGACAGTCTGGAGATGTTTAAACAGACTACGCACTGGTTTGGCTAGAACTAAAAACCACATGGAAAAATAAGGGTTTCTCCCAGAGGACAAGGATATTTACTGTGAATGAGGTACTATTCAAACAACTACCCATCTTTTACAGTGCCCCCCCCCCCAGCTGACATGCACATCAACGTGGGCTGGCATCGAGCTAGAACTATATAAATTTATGCTTTTATTACAGTTTTCAATCTTTTTAAATGTAGGTTGATCATTTCCCCCTTTCTAGTTCCTGCATTTCTGACCTGAATGAGAGGAGCACTTGAAATTGCCAAGATTTACAAGGTACTTACTTTCTATTCCTCTTTCGGACATGGTTGTAGGCTTCCAGACCTTCTGTTAGTGTTTTCAACTTGTCAGGTTCCACCTGAGAGAAGGTACGAACAACAAATTACATTACCCTAATCATTCAATTATTCCAGAGTTTAGCTCAGCTTCAAGAGATCACAGTAATGCCCCAAACCTCACAGATATACTGTAATACAAAGGAATACATGAATTTATATTTCAACTTTGTGAAAAACTAAAGGTGGAAACTTCAAGTTAAACATCTTCAGAATTGGATTAGAACCACTTGAGGACTTGCCTGGAGATTCGGAGGAGGAGTCGATGGTCTGGAGATGTTTAAACAGACTATGTACTGGTTTTTCAAAATAAAAATTACTTTGTTGTCTTCAAAATTAAAAAGTACACTACCTTTACTAAGCTGATTCATAAAACATAGTCTGTCATTGCGTGAAAGAAAATAAATATCTCTAACTCCTTACCAAACTGTTTATAAAATCTTAAGTATTTCAAGGTGAATACTGAAAACATACACAACGAATAGGAATACGCATAGTCCTTGACTTACAATCACAAGTGGGATGGGAACTTCTGTTGCTAAGGGATGCAATGTTTAAATAAGTCATCACATCACCGCATCCGATTTTATGATCTTTTTGATGTGGTCATCAAATCTGGCTTCCCCCACTCATCTTGTTTGATGGAAGCCCCCTTCCAGATCCCAAATAATGATCATGTAACTTCAGGAGGCAGCAACTGATTTAAGCACATGCCAGTTGCCAAGTGCCTGTATTATGATCACATGGCTACAAGGACACTGCAACGGTTGTAAATGCAAAGGCTGGTCTTAAGTCATTTTTTTCCAATGCTGCTGTAACTCTGGCTGCTAAGCAAATGATTGTAAGTTAAGGACTGCCTGCATTTGAAATTCACCCACTCATAAAGTCCAGCATTTAATTTCTGCAATAGAAGAACTCTAGTTCAAACATAAGGCAAACTTATTGTGATATGCCATTAAAAGATTAGCAACACAGGCAGCAACTGCTCAAAAAAGTAGCATTGTTTAAGAAAAATCTCACAGTTTGTATTTGTTGGGGCATAAGATTATTTTATGGAGTACAGCCCCAAGCGAGTTTACCTATAACCCCTATTGTAGTATCTCCTAAAGCAGAGGTCTTCAAACTTGGCCCTTTTATGACTTGTGGACTTCAACTCCCAGAATTCCTCAGCCAGGCACGCTGGCTGAGGAATTCTGGGAGTTGAAGTCCACAAGTCATAAAAGGGCCAAGTTTGAAGACCCTTGTCCTAAAGCTTTATTTCTCAATAATAACACCTATTTGCTTTGGGAAAGAACTCTCATAAGGAAAGGAAAATAAACCTTTAGGACAACTGCAACAGACCAATAGCAATGTTCCATGTGCCTTAGTAAGAGTTTATTTTGGATTTTGAGGTACCAACCAAAGCTTAGCAGTAAGGATTAGGCCCTCCATATGGTTTTTAAATAACAAGTAGAGGAAGTATCTCCTCAGACAATAATCCATTCTCTTAATATTGTTAATTATTAAAACAGTGAATATAAATTTTGTTTTGGCACCACTACCGCAGAATTCAATTTGGTTCACTGTAATTAGCAAACAAAGCTACAAATTGAGCAACAAATTGAGATTTCAGCTGCACTGAAGTGATAAAAATTATATATTTCAGTAGCAGAGGCTTTTTAGTAAATTCTTTTCCTAACTGAACTTTGTAAGTGCTTGAGTTGTTTTCTGTAGCTATATGTACAAATGACATTACAATTATTATGTGTAAATAACTTTGTTTTTCAAATAGTATTGAAAAAACTTCACAGTTCATTTCACTTAACAAAAAAAATCTAAATTAACATTTCACTTACAATAAACATCTAAATTAACATTTAAAGTCTGAAACAATGCTATTATTACATCCTTTATTACTTTGGTTTAATGACATCCTATATTACTTTGGTGAAGGGGTGGGGTTTTTTTTACATTTTCATTTAAACAACAGCTTTTTATTCCAATAATTGCAAATTTATACATTTTATGAATGCATGAACCATTACAACATTAATATTCCTAAGAACTTCATTAAAAGCAGCTGCAGAAGTGAAGCACTGAATTTCCATCCGGAATTATCATTCTACACCATGTAACTGTCTGCAACGCCATGTTCAACTTGTGTTCCTCTAACTTTGATACAATAGTTTGTGAGACTGCACTGATAACATTATTTCATATTCCATGACATTCTGACTGATTGCGAACAATCACTGGATTGTGCAGAAAAAGGATCAATGAAGACCTTTGCTGGGAAATCCAAAAATTACTACAGATAGTCTTTGACTTATGACTTATGACTGGTTGTGTAATGACCGTTCAAAGTTACGATGGCTCGGAGAGTGTGCTTTATGGGCCACAAAGCACCTCTGCCATAGTAAAATGCTGTGCCACGCTCCCCTCCCGGAGTCATGCAACTGTGATCTGGGTGCTTGGCAAACCATTCACATTTATGATTGGGTGCCATGTAATCATGTGATCACCATTTGCCATCTTCTCTGCCGGCTTCCCCCAAAAAACCCATGCATGGGGAGTGGGGCAGAAATCTTTTGTTGGGCTACCGAAAGAAAGCTTGGATCTTTGGGATCTCTGCTTCATTTCTCCAGCCTGGGGCATGAGTTCCTTTCTACGCATGCTCTATCTCAGTGGTGGTGAACCTATGGCACGGGTGCCAGAGGCGGCACTCAGAGTCCTCTCTATGGGCACGCAGGCCGTCGCCCCAGTCCTAGGCCTTCAGCTGGGTTTTATAAAACCTTTTCGCTTTAGGCCTCCGCTGCCGTGTGCCAAAAAAAAAGGTTCAATCAATCAGTCAATTTCAACTTCTTGTGGGAAAAAAAAAGATCTTACAAAGTTGGAATTGATCGATTGAACTTTTTAGTCCCACCCAGTCTGCCGTTACCACCACAGCCACGCTCACCGAATGGGCCACCCCCCCAATGGGCCACCCCCAGCCAATGGGCCACATGCACCTGGCACCCGACAATGCATAAGTGGGTTTTGGGTTGCAGTTTGGGCACTCAGTCTCTAAAAGGTTCGCCATCACTGCTCTATCTGCTTAATGACCTGCGTGGTTCTTTCTTTATTAAATTTATATACCAACCCTCTCACTATCCAAGGGATGCTGCACAATTTAATAACCACATCTAAGAGAGAAGGATTGCAATTGTTGAGTGAAGCAGTCACGTGGGCATCTTAACAACTGCTTTGTTCAATGACCAAGATTCTGGTCCCAATTGAGATCATAAGTCAAGAACCACCTGTATGCCTTCCCCTTTCTTAAAGACGTTTTTATTTGTTAACCCAGGTATTAGAGTGGTCCTGCTTAAGTTTAAAAATAGCTGAAATTCTTGTAATAAAAAAGTATATCTATTACTATTTTATCTTCTCAGTCTCTTCAGTCTTCTGATATTTTATTAGAACATATTCGGATAATTAATATACCTAGGTAAATGTCATGACTCAAGAGCTGGACCACTTTTAAATTAAAGACAATCTTTTCCCAAAGGAAGGTTGCACAGAAAAAAAGCTAATCCGCCTCTATTATCGTACTCCAATTTATCTAAGATAGTTCTTCTATTTTAAAAGTAAATTAGGAGTAGAAAAAATAATTTCTTTTCAGATCAATACATTGAAATAGTCTTGCACTTCACCCTTTTAGATGAGCAAATCTAACTGATATTTAGCCATACATTCATGGGAGGATGGCTTCAATTCATAATTCTTTATGAAAATGAATGGGTAATTCCTAGATTTATTGATTAAAAAGGATTGTATATGAGAAGATTGGAACCTATGGTATATAATTTGGGAGGGCGGAAATAGTATAAACTATGCTTGTAATTGCTGCAAAGAAATTGGAAGCTATTTCTTAATGACTTTAGGTAAATGTTCATGGTATCTTGATAAGATTAAAAGCTATCCACAAATGCCCAAGCATTTAGCTTTCTATTTTATTTGCTCCTTTTTTCTTACTGATATTCTACATAATATTCTATGTAAATTTTTATTTGTTGATAACTATATTCTTTTGTCTTTTCCTTTCAGTCCAGAAATCTGTATCTTGGGCTTTTTCACATTGTCCATATTCATGCATTATCTATATGCTATTAGAATTTTCTCTCCCTATAGTCAGTGGTGGGATCCAGCCAGTTCACACCACTTCGGCAGAACCGGTAGCTAATTTTTTGTTGCCCAGGCCCAGAATGGACTTCCGGAAGCGGCATCCACACATAGAACTGGTTGTGCACATATCTGAATCCCACCACTGCCTATAGTATTATGGCTATTTTATCAATAGGTAAAAATTCAAGGACAGGATGATTCCTTAGGACTAAAATAATATGGAAGGTTCAAGGTGACTCTGAGTGATTTGGGCTGAGATAATGTTTTTAATTTATATTTTATTTTTTTGATTGTAGAAAGCCTAAAATTTAGAATAAACTGAGTAGCATACAAATTTATATAATCAATAAATACATTTTATTATTAAACTCATTTGGTATCCCCAATATTTACTGAAAACTAGTGGTCTATCACTGATGATGTTACCTAGTTGGGTAATGAAACATCTGCAAGCAAACAACCAAGCTCAGAGAATACCAAGGACTCCGTGCTCTATCATGGTCTGTTAAAGATTCTATGGAAAGTTTTAAAGGGGCATAATTATAATCTGTTGGCTTTTGTCAGCAAGCTAGAATCTTAAGACACTGAATCTATCTATGTCACCACTGGAAAGTTCTGTTGAGAATTGACAGCCATATTAGTTAATTTTATATGAATCTTTGTAAGTACAAAAGCCAGAATTATAAATGCACATGAATTCCTGAAACAAATATTACACAAATGTATTTTGTGGTTATATGATTAATATGTAGAATTTGTTTAAAGGTAACAAGAACATTTTTGATGCATTTTTATACATGATACCATATAATAATGTTGTGTGACAGAGGAAGATTTGCATTTACAGGTAATCCCCGAGGTACGAGCCTAATGGAGCCTGGGCATTAGGCTTGTAAGTAAAAAAACAAAAACCTCCTCAAATGAATCAGACTCAATTTTACAAATTTATAAAATCAAATTCATTAACTAAATTAGTTGTTAAATGAACGAAGATCTGACTTACTATTTCTTCCGATAGCTGCCATGTTAACTGAACTGGGAGGGTCCCGTCCCCCGCCAGCTGCCCATCAGCTGTTTCTGATGAGCTGGGCTCAGGAACTAAATTGCCTCCAAGCAGGGCTTGCAAGCTATCACACTTATTTTTTTTTAAAAAAAACAACTGCTGCTAGCCAGCTCAAGAGTCTTCAGCTGCCCAGAACCTGGGGGGGGGGGGGCGGGGGCGGGCAGGGAGCATTGCTTTAATAAAAACACTAGCTTAAGAGCCAGCCAGGCACCCAGAGGGAGATGAGGGAGGGATTTGCAGAACTCTCAGCATGCAATAGTAACAGAGATGGAAGGGACCTTGAGACCAGCTAATCTAACCCACTGCTCTCACAAGAAAGTATTTTTGTTAAATGCCTATCCAGTCTCTTCTTAAAAGCTTCCAGTGATGGGGCACCCACAGCTTCTGGAGGCAATTTAAAATTTAAAACCTACAAACTACAGTAACATATGCTAATTTCCAAAATAAAAGCTCAGTAGTTTGCAAAGAACAGTACTTAAAAAGCAGAGCAGTCCCCAAACTGCTTGCAAACAAACAGTTTGCAAGCAGTCTGAGAACTGCTCTGCTTTTTAAGTACTATACTTTGCAAACTATTGTGTTTGCAAACTATAGAGCACAGGTGTCAAAACTCGCCCAATCATGTGATGTGTTGTGACATATCATGACTTTTTTCCTCATTGCTGGAGCTGGGATGGGTGCCGCCTCCGCATGGTGCAACCGGCCCAAGGGCCCGTACTTTGACACCCCTGCTATAGAGTAACAAAAAAAAATATTTTAAAATACTTACAGAAGTAATTGTAGCATTCGAGCCCAGGCAGTAGCAGATTGCACAAAAGCAAAAACGGGTGCCGGCTCGGCTCTTCTTTGGCCATGTGGCCAGGGACAACTCCCCCCTTCTAGCTTCTCGTAGCCTGCAACGGCCCAGGCAAGTCACAGAGATAAAAATGGCCACTACCGCAGTAGAGACTGAAATCAAGTCACATGGCTACAGAGGCCTCCTTTTGGTCACAGTTTCGAATTTCTAATGTTAAGTACCCTTTCTGAATTAATTCGTTTTTGTGAAAACTCGCTAAATAAACACTTGTACCTGGGGGATTACCTGCACTTGGTTCATTATTTGCAATGTCATAATATAATTAATATAATAACTCTCAACTAAATGTCAGAATTGTTACCATTTAAATTATTTATAATTACTATTTGGTGCTGATCGTGAGTGATCAACACACACAGGTGAACTGTTTTTTTGTTTTTTTTTTGAGTTCCTGGCCAATGAGAAATTCAGCTTACCATTTTTTTCCTTACATTAATGAAAAACTTTATTTACTTAAATCACTTTTAGCTCATATTTCCGTGGGAAAGTCATTGTAGAAAGTGTGGTAGAATCTGGGGGCAGAGTTAAAAGAGGGACCAGCCTAGAATCTCTACATAGCCATAAGCAAACTAAGTCCAACCCCCGTTGAATTCTGTTGACAGGTGCTAATGGTTAGTTGAGAAAATTAATATCACATTTGAAAGATCAGGTTCACATGTAAAAGTCCAATTAAACTGATTTATTACTAATTATGCCTACCCACAGGAATCTTCTACTTGGGATCAGATAAGGGTCAATGGAATTCAAGGGAGGTTGGACTTAATTCACTTGTGGCTACGCCTGATTCCTCTTTTAATTCATGGTAAGATGGGCAGCCAATAAATTTTACAAACAAAAACCTCTGCCCACATACTCTACCTTCTCCTATAGTCATTCAGACTATCTGATTCCCCCCCCCAAGTTTTGGGAGAAATGATTGAATGCTTAAGTTGTCCTGAAAATGTTACCATTTGCTATCATCTCATATTAAAAAGGTTTTGGATTTGAATTTCTTTTCATTAGTTAATGAAATAAGAATGAAACAGAGCAAGATGGTCAGAAATCAAGCACGTTGTATGATGCTTCTATGTAAACATTTCCTTTAAAAATAGTTTTTATGCAATCTTCTCTAACATGAATTTAATACCCGTTAACCCTGAACTGAAGGCTTTAATTATATACTTATATACTGAATAGAATTCTGTCTTTAATAAGCATCTAAGGAGCTTGTATCACCACCGAATAGATTTGTGGTATAGATGAGTGGCCTCTAATACCTCTTGTACTCCATAAACATGATATTTTCCAAACGGTGAGCCAGTTTAGTACGGTGGCTAACATATAGACTAGAAACTGGGAGATTGTGAGTTCTAGTCCTCCTTAGACATGAAAGCTAGCTGGTTGGTCTGAGTCAATTGGGCTGTCTCTCAAGCCTCATTCTCTCAGGGTTTTTGTGAAAAATAGGAGGCAGGAGCATTATGTACGCTACTTTGAGATGTATGAAATAAAGGTGCTGATGATCATTATCATTATTGCAAATGAACCAGGATCACACATCTCCAAATTGAAATGGTAATGTCTTTGAAATCTGAATAGTGGTATTAACGTGTGTACATGAGCTGAGCAAGAACTGTAACTGTGAAATGGCAAATAATGGAAAATTCACCAGTAGTAGAAGAAAGAAGAAGAGAGTCTGTGAATTGAAGCTGGACACTGAATAATGAGCGGGGGGGGGGGATAATTTGAACCCTGGTAACATGTAATAAAGCACCTTCTGAAGTCTGGTCTCATCTCTTATTATCATGATAATCATGCTTACTTTCTAATCTGCTTCATTAGACAATCTTGAGGGTACTCAACTTTTAAAAGTAAAGTCTGCCCCCTGGAAGAAGCACTAGGAGGTCGTAGTAGAACTTCACAGGGGGCATTATGTACAAACATTACAGCCAGAGAAGAAATGAATTTGCCTTGCAAAGACAGTTTTTGTCCTATTCTCTTTAGTGACCACAGAGCATGTCTTGATCCAGTTTTAAGCTGTTTAAGGGGAGGGGGAATGGTATGGCTTTCCTGTTATTAACGTTTTGGCTGCATCAAGAATTTAAATTAGGGATTTTTTTTTTTATTCTGCTTAGGATAGTTTGACTTATTTTATCTCTGTTTTAAAAGCCCATGGCTCCAAAGGGAGAGAGAGAATGCAGTTCCCCCAAAGGATGCATTCCATTGTCTGGGAGCAGTGCTGAAAAAGATGCCAGAAAAGCAGGCTTCAGACAGCAGGGGTATTTTGAAAATACCCTCCTGTCGTCTGAACCAGGCAGGTTTCAAATAGGTAAGGCCGTCCTTTCTGAACATCCTGCCTTCATGTGAACCTTGGCAACATTTACATTTATAACAATAGACGCTAATGAAATCCTGAATGTTTGACTTAGAAAAACAAATAAAAATTGCAGATAGATATTACAATATATTCAAATTGCATCAAAGTAGCGCAACCTGATCTGAGTCTACAGAATGAAAAATCATTTTTTATTTCAGTAGAAGATGTGTTAGTTTTCTATTGTATGTATTTTTTTTTAAAAAAATAGTCTATTCCTCAGGCTGACAAGTGCTGATAGAAAGCAATAATGCCTTTTAAAAATTATAGATAAGGATGAAAATTGAAAAATGTAATCAATACCTTTTCCTCCCCTTTTTTTTTTAAAAAAATGTTACCACAAATCTTGATCACGTCATATACCAGACATATCAAACACAAGGCCCGGGGGCCGGATGTGGCCCGCAAAGTGGTTTCATGTAGCCCGCGAAGCCATCCTGGAAACAGTGAGGGAACGGCCCCCGCTGCCTTGGCCCTGGCCCAGGCCAGCCGGGAGCCAATGTACAATTTTGTGGTGGCCATCTTGGCACTTGCCCCAGTGGACCATGCCTTGGCACTTGCCCCGGTCCCACCCTCTTCTGTCAGAGACCCTCAGATCTGTCCCACTCCTGCCCAGGCCCCCACAGGCACCCTTGACGCGAATGATGTAGAACTGGCCACACCCACTCCATCCAGCCCACCCAGTAGGCTGCACCCACTCTGGCCACATCCACCCGGCCCCCCAAGGGCAACCGCAATGCTGATGCGGCCCTCAATGAAATTGAGTTTGACACTCCTGCCATGTACCTTTGTTAAAATTTATGTATACATATGCATAAATGTACCTTCCCATCCTCAGTGCTTTGTTGACATGAGTTGTGAACGTCATCTTCTCTCACTAATTTACCAGGCCAAGACGACAGTCCTTTAATTTGGCTCCAGACCAAGTCCCCAACATTAAACGTCCTTGGTCTGTAATGTATCAACTCGTTTGAAGATGGGGAATCGGGATTCCTCAGGTCATCTTCGCTACTGATGCTTTTAGCATCTGAAGGACTAGGCACACACCCATTAATGCTTTTGGCATTAAAGTCTCCATTATAATGGATGTAGTCTTTAATCAGAGAACTTTCGAAACTATTGGAGGAACTTGGAGACTGTTCTTCCAGGCCTAGGTCTTGCTTAGCAGGATTCAGCAACTCTCCAAACCCTCTGCTCTGCTGGGGCCGGTTCCCGTTGATGTGCGCACATCGTTCCACAGTGTTCTCTAGTCTCTCTTTAAAACTCATCATAGTTCTTTTATAATTGCTATACCTGAAGTTCTCCTCCACCATCTTGTCGCCGTGACAATTTCGCTGGGGTAATAATACTGGATGTTGCTTGCCTGGGACTAATGGCAACGTGGAAACATTGTTGGGCCTTTCGCGGCAAGGACTACTGAGAACATGGGACGAGTGATTTAAAACCTCCTCGCATTTCCATCGGTTCATCTCCCCTCCAGGGCTCGGCTCCCCTTCCCACTGTTTTTTTGGTGTGTTGCAACCTGTCGGTTTATAATATTCCAAGCCATCCCCGTCGCTGGAATTTTTAAGGTGTTCCGAATTCTTCAGTAACCGTGTCCCCCTGGGGTTCCTCGCTCTGTCTTCGTGATCAGAAATGCCAATATTTCGTCCGTGTATTACTGCATTGACAGCACTGGAAAGGTTTAATGGATCTCCAATTGAGGCTGTAAAGGCACTCATGGCACTCAGAGCTGGAATAGGGCTCATTTGTGTTGTACTGTTAACCGCGGTGGTGATGACTACTTGCATCCCCTTGCCTGCAGCATCTACCACTGCTTTGTAGATGGCATCAACTGAACCATCACTCTGGGCAGTTAGACTGATGTCCTTTGCTTGTTGTCCTATAGATGGTTCTGTCCTTTGTTGTAAATTGCATACAGTATCTTGAAAAGGAGGAATTGCTGCACTGGAACTTTCAGGAACTGGTGGCATCCCTATTTGAGAGATAATTCTCTTGTTCAGGAAAGCGGTCTCTTCCTGCATTCTCACCTTTAAAAATCATAGGAAAATAAAATTAGATGGGAGCCTTTAAAGGCTGCCTTAAGACAAGGACAGTTGCTAACTGTTAAAAACACTGGCTAAAACAATCATGGCCTACTCATTCCATTTTCGAGTAGGAAGAATGCAATTAAAAGTAACATTACCTTAATGTGATCTACAATATTTGCTGACGTTTTCTTGCACTGTACAACTTAAGATTGCAAGATACATTTTCTAACTAAACAAGCACGATCCATCACTGGAGTTTTAAATTTGAACCTCAATTAAACACCATTTTCTTGTTGCTTTCGTTTGATACATGCCCTTCCCTTGGCTGATTAGCTCAGAGAAATTTGGAACATTCTTTTTTCTCTGAGAAAAATATACTTCTTGGATTGGATGATGATTGAAAAATGTATACTTAGATCAGGGGGAAATGTACATTTCAGGAATAAATCCATTTTGTATAGTTCTAACTCTCAAGACTGTGCAGTATAGTACTTCAGAAACAAATCAAAGCAGGTCTGTTGAAGAATATAGGAGCACAAGCATAGCACTTCTCTGCAACTCTTTAAAGCACCTACGTCTTCCTAGAATTACAGAAAAGATTCTTGTACTTCTGCAGCTACCATGTAATCCCAGGGAGTGATGCTTTGTAAATGCAGGGATTTCCCCCTTATTCCTTAATAATTTGTGTTCATAGCCCCCATATTTTATTACAATTTACAGTTGTGAACTCATCTTTTTTTTTTTACATTTATTTATGAAGATTCTACTATTAAACTGGACAACGAAGATTTTGCTTCCTGAATCCTTTTGGGTGTATCTTATAGATTTTTGGCTGTTAATCACAAAAATAAACTGTAATTGAACCTATCACATACTGTTTATATAAATCTTTTATTGTTACACAATGGCAGTGTTTAGTATCTGTTGGTTATACTGCACTCATGGGGGAAAAACAAAACAAAACATGGAACTGGTTATTGACATACATCCAGTATACCAAGTACAAGTGGAACACAAGTATTTGTATTTTTATCGTATTTTATTTGCACTGTTTATAGGTGTTCTATAGTTTTATCTTAATATTGTAAGCTACCTAGAGTTACCCTGTGATAAGATGAGCGGGCAACAGCTTTAATAAATAAATAATGTTGGAGATGTAAAAGAAGTGGTTCTGCTGTTGGGATGCATCTTGGATATATACCAAATGCTGTTGCTACATATGCAAATGGGACAGCTGTGTAAGAAAGGTGCATTACATGAAAAAGAAATGGCGACCTGGAGGAATTTGATTCCATGACAGAAAAACCTGGCACATGAATCACTTGTTGACCTGACAAAGATATTTTTGTTTCTGTTTCACAAAAAACTCTGACCAATGAAGAATTTCGTGAAAGTGATGAAGAAAGAAGGTGAAGGTTTTCATTGAGACTGATGTTTCCAAGAATAACCAATGCCAAGATTAAAAAAAAGGTATTTTAGTTGATCCACAGATCAGATACATTATCAATGTGACAAAAGGTTTGAAGGTCTGTTAGTGGGGCCAGAGAAAATCTATAGAAAATTGCCTGGAAAGCATTGGAAGATGTTGTTGAGCATTTTCTTGGCAACTACAGAGCACCACACTACATTCAGCTGGTTGATAAACTTCTTACAGCACACAAGACCATGAAGTGCAATGTGTCACTGAAGATTCATTTTCTGCATTCACACTTGGACTTCTTTCCTGAAAATCTAGATGCAGTCACTGACGAACATGGTGAAAGGTTTCACCAGGTCATTGTCATAATGGACAAAATGGTACCAGGGTAACTGGAATTCATCAATGCTGGTTTATGGTTGAACACTGCAATAAGATGCATCAGACACTGAGTACAAACAAAAATCATCAGCAAAACTTTTTTTTTTGACTCTGTTGAACTCATGCAGTATGTCAGAAACATTATGCGATTAAATACATTATAGTTATTAAAAGTTAATGTAATATTTCTACAGTAATTCTGAAATTATACCTGTGTTCAGTTAGAAGGGGTCTATCATCACCAAAAGTTTTTCAGGAAGCAAAACTTTTGGGGAAAAAAAATCGTGGTCCAGTGTTATTCATGCCAACTTCATTTTCCCAGCTGTGGTTTACATTTTTCTTCAGTGATATAAAAATCTGTGGCCTCCAACAAAAGTTTCAGAATTGCTTCTTTTCAACCCAAAGCTTTCTTTTGAATATTTTATCATTTGTTTGTCAGCTGAATTTGTGTGTATATATATGCGTGTGTGTTTGCATGTGTGTAGAGAGAGGAGAGAGAGAGGAAAGAGAGGAAAGAGAGAGAGAGAGAGAGAGAGAGAGAGGAAAGAGAGAGAGAGAGAGAGAAAGAGAAAGAGGAAAGAGAGAGAAGAGGAAAGAGAGAGAGAGAGAGAGAGAGAGAGAGAGAGAGAGAGAGAGAGAGAGAGGAAAGAGAGAAAGAGAGAGAGAGAGAGAGAGAGAGAGAGAGAGAGAGAGAGAGAGAGAGAGAGAGAGAGAGAGAAAGAGAAAAGAACAGAATAAGATGGCAGCTTTGTTCTGCTGTCAAGCATCTATTTATGTATTCATTGACATTATTTATAAATTGCCTTTTACAGTTGCTATTAAAAAAGAGAGTTAAAAAAGTAAACTGAACAAGCTGAATAAAAGTGGACTGCAGTGCCCCAGTTTGAAAAGGTCTTATGTTATCTAATAATATCGTGGTTTTTGAGACTAGTCACAAGTTTCCACTATCCTCAAAGAAATTTAGGAGTTCCTTCCAAAATATAAGTTCCAAATAGAGTTTAAAACGTAAGCCTGGTACACTGAATCTAGCTCAGAAATAAATTAATAATAGATAAACAATGACTAGTTTATATATATATGCATAATTCATATATAATGAAATGAACATATTAAAAAAGTAGCATAGAATAAAATGCTGGGAATAAAAGTAGACGGAAAGCAATGATTTTTTTTTACCAACTAGTAAAATAATTTATTCTACTCAGTGCTTTTTTTCTAAAAAAAAAAAAAAGGTGCCGGAACTCACACATGTCATACAACCTGCCTTGCCTACCCTACAAGGTTCCATCCAAAAAAGGTGCCGGAACGCCGTTCTGGGCGTTCTGTGAGAAAAAAAGCCCTGATTCTACTATTCTATCAAGTTGAACAAAGTTTTTCTTGTCATTGTCTATATTAATTCTTTCCTAAGTTTTCAATTCAGTAATACTTTATTTAATAAAAGAAGAAATACAAATTTCTGGCTTAATTTTGCAATTCAAGAGGATGATAACGTTGTCTGAGTGAGCAAGATTTCTGTAAACATGCATTTACAACTCTCATACTGAAATACCAGGATTATACTAGGTTTCCACATGTATTCAATTTCATTTCTCCATTGAAAACAAACAAACAATGCCATTGTTTTCATTTTAACGCCTGAAACAGACTTGTTCACAGTCAAACTTTTTTAGAACCATCCATGGGGATGCATAGTTTTGTTGTGATAAAATGGAATCCATAGATTTGTTTGATGATAAAATCCCTGAAAATATTTTTATTATTTGTATTATTTTTTTCATGGATCCCTGAGAAACAAACCAACTTCTACCTGAAAATTCTGGAACAGACAAGCCATAGGATTTGGGTTGTTAGGAGGTCCAGGAATGGGAAGCTGTCCTTGGAAGCCTTGGAGATTCTGATAGCCTTGGAGAAGCTGCTGTTGCTGATTTGATGGAAACATCTGATTGTTGTTGAACAATGACTGCAGATGAGTGAGCTGATGGTTATTAAGAGTAGTGTTTATCGAGGACATATCACCTGCAATTCCAAACACATGAATATTTAATTCAGCAAATCTCCCCAGAATAAGCATATGAGTTGTCCAAGCCATGTTTTTTCCATTTAGTAGCAAAGAAACAGAGTGAAATATTTTTCCCTGCAGCCTTTTACTGGACTTTGATGGTTATAGAATTTTCTTCTTTTTCCTATTACAGCCACCTGACATCTGTCTACTATAAATTCTAACTTGGTTTTTCCTGTCCATGAATATATATAAACATATAAGCTTGCTAAACATAATGTAGGGTTGGTTTTTTTGGTACTTTTGGCTTAGTGTGATGTTTGAAGCCATCCAGTATAGTTAAAATGTTTTGTGCAAAGGAGGCACTACAGTCTGTTCAAGCTAAACATTATCCTTACCCATTTTCTGTGAACTGTGAAGGTGTAATATGTCTAATGCTATCTAATTTATGAAACATTCACAAATTCATTATGAATTCTGTTCCTTTAATTGCTAATAATTTTCATAATATTTTAAAAAAACATATTCCGCAATATGAACTTATAGTTCTCTTTGTAATAAACTTTTATATATACATATATCTATATCTGTATATCTGCATCTATGATATCTATATATCTCCTTTAATACGAGGGCAATTCGGAAATAAACCTCTGTTTGGTTATCAATGACAGACACTCGCAGATGCGGAACTTTTATTATACACATTAGAAAACTACAACATTACATTACTTTTTGACACAATCGCTATTCAAATTGAGGCACTTGTCATCTTACAAGGTTTGAAATTTGTTAGTAGTAGTCGCTCGGCGCCAAATCTGGGCTATGGGGGGGTGATCAAAAAAATACCAATGGGACTGCCTCAAAAGTTCTTGGGTGCGTCTAGCGGTGTGTGGGCGAGCATTATCGTGAACCAACACCACAGCAGAAGTCAGCATGCCCTGATGCTTGTTATGGATGACTCGTCTGAGTTTTCATAGCATTTCACAGTAGACTTCTGAACTGATGGTCGAACCACGCCCCATGAACTTTACTAGCAATACTTCTTTAGCATCTTCACATTTGGCGGGATTTTCTATGGCACCACTTCCGGTGTGGTGTTGGTTCACGATAATGTGCACCCGCACACCGCTAGATGCACCCAAGAACCTTTGAAGCAGTTCCGTTGGGATGTTTTTTATCCCCCCCGTAGCCCAGATTTGGCGCCGAGCGACTACTACTAAGGAATTTCAAACCTTGTAAGACGTTATGACAAGTACCTCAATTTGAATGGCGATTATGTCGAAAAATAATGTAATAATGTAGTTTTCTAATGTGTATAATAAAAGTTCCATATCTGCCAGTGTCTGTCATTGATAACCAAAGGAAGGTTTATTTCTGAATTGTCCTTGTACTTCTTTGACTTTGCTAAAATCATGAAAAATAACCTCCAAAAGCCAGAAGTTTTATTTACATATATATTTAACACATACATATTTAAGCAGACTCTTAAAGAACTGGCTTTGCGAGAGATATGAAAGGTGGAAGGGGAAGGACTTGGAACTGTGGCATAAGATTTTATTACTGGTGATTGTAGAATGAAAGACTGTAGAGATTAGAGTTAATATAAATAGTCTGGTATTTATATTTGCTGAAACTAATTCATTTTTTTATTGTGAGTTATTAGTACGTTAGACCTGAGTTTACTGAAATGCTGCTTTATCTAATTCCTTTCCTATGGTTTATTTATTAAATCCAACAGCTCAACATGCACAGACACAAAATATTCAGGAATATTCCTAAAGGAAATTCAAGAATTTGGCAGATTCTTAGCCCGGTTCACACAATTATATTGTCCACTGTACAACTAATGAATTGTTTTCCCAACAAATGTGAAGATCCTCATATACAAATCTTGTTCCTGAATTCATTGGAGGAGTACAATACTCTCCCAGAGTTATAATATAATACTTAAATTTTTACCGAGACATACATTCTACTGAATGCATACATGACTGCAGCCTTAAATATGTGAATTGGAAATCAGTTTATTTAGAAACTGGTAGTTTCTACGCTATTTAAAAATGAAAAAATCCCAAAACATGACAGCGTGAATGTAAGCTGAAAGGTAGCCTATTACCTTGAATCTGGTCTGCTTTATATATTGCTGCAATGGAATTTAGGGATTAGGAATTTAGGGATAAAAACATTGGCATATTTTAAATTCTATGGACATGGAAATTTTTTTTTCATCCATTGCACAGCTACTCATACAACCCTGTGATGCCTTGGATATTTTTAAATAAAATGCTGCATCCCAAAGAAGCAACTGTGCAGTATGAATTTTTGGAAAAATAAAATAAAATAAAATCCATTCCAATGGGCTGACTGAATTGAGATAACATCAGACTTTCTAAACAAAATGTTTTAAAACGCTACTTAACATTTGTCCTAAATTTTATTTGTGCTCTTTCACTGGAATGGTCAAACAGATTCACACAGCATAAACCTTTTAGGGGAAAAAAAAGTGCAATGAAATGGAATTTTTTTTTCCTCCTTAAAAAAGTAGAAAATAGAAGTTCCCCTCCCCCGCCACCGCTTTTTTCCTTTTCAAAATCTATGAAAATATTTAACTTACCAAGTAGACCTGTCCCCAGTAGAGGGTTAAGTAGCTGTGGCACCACAGAGTTATTGTTGAGTTTAGCTGGACCAGATGTATTCCCAGCATTATTAGATAGGCTCAGCAATGTTTCTGCCATTGACACCACTGCTGTCCCACCAAGGGTTGAGACAGACAGTGCTGCCACTGCTGATGATGTAGTGGCTGTGCCAGTGGTAGCCTGGGAGGAGAGTGCTATGGAAACCTCTGGATGGTTAGCAGTGCTGCCCGATGTAGAGTTCAGAACACCTCCCAACAGCTGGGGATTCAAGGTCATGAATCCTGAGGCCCCAGTGACAGCTGGGAGGAGCAGGGGATTTGAAGCCGTGTCTGTGCTTGAAAAGCTTGGGAAAGAGTTTCCCAGGGGGTTGGTTAACAGGGTCTCAGCTCTGCTGGTATCTGACTGACTGCTAAGCAACTGATCTGGTAGTGGGGCTGTCATCTGGGTTACTGAGGGCACAGTACTGTTTTGCTGTTGCTGTAACAGATCTGAGATGGATAGATTGAAAGATGCTAAAGGGAACATGGCAGATGTTTGGGCTTGGTTCTGAAGAAGAGCTGCTAGCAGCTGAACATGGACAGGTTGCAGCCCCTGCCCATCCACTTCACCGGAGAGCAAAGCTAAAGCAGCATTTACATTTGGGTTGAGAAAACCTAAAGGATTGAGGTTGACCTCAGACTTGCCTTCTCCTGTTGAAGGCTGAAGTATATTTAATAGATTCTGGTTTAGGAGGTGTTGCTGATTCACTGGCAAAGAGATAGGTAGCGAGCTAAAGAGGTTAGGATTCAAAGAGTGCGGAAGACTGTTGCTTGAAGCGCTGTTCTGTGGGAAATGCAGAGTGTGCTCATGACCAACAAAAGGAAAGTCATTCCCAAGAGGGAGTTGGCTATGTAGTGGAGTTCCAGCAGCGGTTGTGACAATGACGCCATCTTGAAGTACAGATGTTGTCTTGGTGATGCCAGGTTGACAGGTACCAGCTATAGCTGTAGATGATGGTAGACCTGTCCTTCCTGAAATTGGAAAATAAATATTAAAATCACTTTAGGAGTTTTAGTTATATTTAGGACTCTAAGAAGGAATGGTAATCTTACAACAAAAATCTGCTGTAGTTACAGGAAACAATGATGCAATTCCAAGCCAAAATTAATTGTACTAAAGCATGCTGAAGGGCCTTATCTTTTAAAAAATCAACAGGATAGCATATACTTAGTAGGAGAAAATACAACACAGGCACGCTGGATTATAATTCCCAAATAGTGTAGCCAATGACAGGTATCATCAAGCTCATCATCCAAAACATTTAAGGAATACGAGCATATCTACTTCTGATCTATGGATTTAGCTGTATTGCTCAGATGACTAGAGGCTATCTCATACTAATTCAAGACAACACTAAACAGGGGTTCTTGATCAATGCTAAAGAATAGCAAATACTTTTTTCCAAAAATCACCTAATACTTAAAAAACAGACTATGTAACTAATTACTAATATAGTTCTAAGGAACAATACACGTGCATTATTTCATTTTATGTATTCCATTTGTTTGCTTGGGAGCAAACACTAAGTTCTGTACTAGAAGATGTTATTGCATTTAAATACTAATGATAAAAAAGAGTATGAAAAGATAAGAGGGGAAGGTTAGAGCCCAGAGCAAAAGAATTCTTCTTTCAAGACTGCCACCATGTGGTTTTATCCATCTAGAATATAATGAGTGTGTATCACTTAGGTCAAACGTTTAAGGATGTAGATGCTTCCAAAATTATGAAAAAAAGAGAAGAACACAAGTCAATTTTCTCTTCTTACGGGCATATCTCTCTGAAAATCCCATGTAGGTTATTTTGGTATAGAATTTTGAAAATTGTAATTGCATTAACATACCACGCTTCTTTTTGTAAGCTCAAATGGTTCTATCCCAGTTTTGAAATTTTCACAATAATTCTGCAACGTTGATGAGACTGGGATGTAATCCCCGTAATTTTATAGAAATAATAATAATAATAATAATAATAATAATAATAATAATAATAATAATAATAATAATAATAATAATAATAACAACAATAATATAAAAAACGTTGGAAGGTCATCTAGTCCAACCTCCTGCTCAGGCAGGAACCCTTATACCATTTCAGACAATATTTGAGTTTCTGTATTTAAACATCACTTTAAACTACAACACATTACACAAATACTGCAAAAATATGCTAAATCTTATTGACAGACCATCGCCAACAGCCCATATAGCCATTCCATTTCCAATACTTTTATTTATTTAAATATACTATGTATGTAGTATATTAAATTTATTTTGAAAATATTGAAGTATTAAATAATACTGATAATATCAATAAAAGTTGTATCAATAGATTGATAGATATTTCCTGCTTTTATTTTTGTACAACTCATTGTAGCATATAGCTCTGGAAATGACATGTAAAATCAGAGTCTGATAGCATCTTTTCTCATTAATAAATTTTATTCAAAGCCAACTTTTGTGCATATACATCTCTCAAAGTAAGCTGCACCTTATAAGAGTTTATGTCTTTTTGTTAAATTTGTTAGTCAGCAAGGATGCTACCAGATTCTTGAATTCTGACCACTTTAGGTTAATATGGTTTTCTTTCTAAAATGGAAAATAAGCATTGTTTGCTGTGAAAGTGATTCCAGACCTGATAAAAAATGGGTTTGAAAGGCAATTATTTGTATTAACACAGAACAGTAAGTTTGCTCTAAATAAAAATATAAATATGAAAACAATGGAGGTTAATTTTGCGTCAGCGGTGTATTGTTTTAGTTGCTAATACAATGGGCAAACTGCTGAGTGAAGAAAGCACCCATCATAGTTTTATGCTATTCTACAATCTTAGGAAAAAAGTTATGGAAAAATGAAGCCTAAGTCAGACAAAATTTAATTCTCAAGCACAAATCAAATTCCAACTGGAGAGAGGGACTATTGCTAAAATATTAAATCCAATTAATCCAAGAAAAAAAAAGATTTAAAAACCAGCAAGGTTGATACTTTCTCGGGAAAGGTTAAGAAAGTGAACAAACTGACACATCCCTGCACAGACTGTATGGACTAGGAAAAGACAGAGTGGAAGTGTTATCAAATCCATTTCCACTCAATGCTAATATCAAAATCTCAACAGGAAAGCTACATCTGAACTTTACCTATTATTTTCCAATTCCCTAGTCTACAAAAAGGCATGCTTTCTTAACGCAGTTTAGACAGAAATGTAAAAGGGATTTACATAATTGTAAATTATGTAAAGCTGAATGGTAATAGTTTCCATACATTTCTGAATTTCTACTCAGATAAACTATAATGTCCAAACACCTTTCAGATTACATTTCTTATATTACATTTCTTATATTTCTTCTTTATATGTAAGGGTGTAGCTATATACATATCTTGTATATAGCATGTTTATATGTGTGTTATGTATGATGTGTACACTTTTGACAGCAGGCAACAGAATTTCATTTTTAATGTGTACCAGTGTGCCCACAGTAAAAAATGACAATAAAGATTATCTATCTCTAGCTATCTTTTCTTAACATTGAACAGTACCTGAAATAAGCTAATACTTTTGGTCAGGTACTTGCATGTGTTCATAAAAAAGGATTGTAATTATTACCAAATTATTAACTTATTGATATTTATTTTATACTAAAAATTATCTTATAAATCTTTTTGTTGACCATGGCTCAAGATGCTCTTCAACAAATCATAGTATCAGCAAATGAGTCATATTTTGATACAAAATAGCTAAGGAAGTCTCTAGCAATGTGAATTTAAATCTTTAATCCCAATTCTCCTACCAGTATGCAATGATTCCGTGGGAACAGCCCTTCCCAAGAAAACATATTTTTCTTCTAAGCTGAATGTAATCAATAAACTAGCAGTACTTTGCTTGTGGAAGATCTGGAACCAACATCTTCCTCAGTTCCCAGGTATAAGACTGACAGGAGTATATATTATTTATTTATTTATTTATTTGTATCCTGCCTTTATTATTTTTTATAAATAAGTCAAGGTGGAGGATGTATCCAATACGTAGCCTCCCATTTTCCCTACAACAGCCTTTNAGGGAGAGGGAGGGGGAGGGAGAGGGAGAGACTTAACCACTACATCAAACTAGCTTATATCTTGATTTTCAGCAAAGATTCTTTTATATAGATTATTACAAGGTTATTAAATAATTAAAGTACTGATAATTTCAAAGCTATTATGAAATCAGTGCTATTTTAAGGCCATCAGAAGATAACTGACTGAGCTGGCTAGAAGAATGGTCATTGCCTTCTACAAGTCCTATCAAGCCTTCAAGTGTATTTGTAAAAATGCCACTGATTGAAGAAATCTCTTGCTATTGTGGAACTAAATAATTTCTAATCAGTTCAAGTATTCCATTTCTAATGTGACCAAGTTCAATTAATTGTGCCACTGCATATTGGCTACCAAAAGCAAACATTTTGAGTTTGAAAAACATAAAACTAATTATCAATATCCTATGAACATTTTTTTCTGCTTGTTAGTTCTGAACTGCTAAGTTGGCATAAAAGATAGAAGATCCATTGAAAGATAATACATATATTTCTTGAGTAGTATAAAAGCTAACTTACATAAAGTTGACTGCACATCTAACCATTTCAAAGTGCAAAAAAATTGCATTAAGCATGCAATATAAAATAGTATGCTGCAAGGATGAATATCTATCCTATCCAAAAAACAGCTTATGCAAAACTTTCTAAAACATAACATTTATTTAAGTCAGGGAATATTTGTATTCTGGGATTAAGACAAAACCTCAAGAAATCCACAGGAAAAAATTTTACTGTTTAAGAAGTCACCAGTTCCTCTGATATATAAGTTGTTATTACCATGGCTAGCAACTAAACAGCTTAAATAAATATGCCTTATCTGGAAGCAAAAGATTAAGAATTAATATGACTATGCAGAGCTGCACAGCAACTGAAATTTATTATCTATATATTTCAATTTCATTTTACATTTACATTGATACAAATTGACATGTATTTTGTTAGTCCATGGATATATCTGATATATTGTCTTGCTCCCAAATATATGGATGTATTTGAAAAAAATGGATACCAATGATAAAAAGCAGCAATATTCACAATCCTTAAATACATGCAGACTTTTAAAAAGGAAATAAAATCCGTTATAAATTCCAATTACATTGACCACACAATGCTGACTCGCGCTTAAATTGTATCCCAGGTCCAAGTTCTGTTAATGCTTTCTTTTTGAACAGGCAAAGAAATGTTTGTGCTTTCTTCTTAAAAGACTTCCTTTTCTACTTGAGTGACCGTCCCATCCTATCAGGATTGGTCCTCCCCACCTGGGCCGGCAGATGTACATATTGCGGGCCCCATCGGCCGGGGTATTCCGACCGGCGAGATCCAGGAGAAGGGCCTTCTCTGCCATTGCGCCTGCCTTCTGGAACATCTTATTCCCTGAAGTGAGGTCAGCTCAAACCCTCCTGACCTTCCAGGAGAACTTAAAAAACAGCGAATTGGTTTGGGGCTTCAACGGAGGGCCTTCACGTTGAGGGTGGTTCATTGATTAACAGCAGATCCTATCTTCTTCCCCTATCATCATACTCCCTCCCCCCCATCATTTTTAGCTAGGTTGACTTTATAGTGTTGTATTTATATTATTATAAATTATACGGTTTTATCTTTTAATATTGTAAGCCGTTCAGAGCTATCATGTGGCAAGATAGGCGGCTAATACATTTTAAACAAACAAAAGAAAGAAACCCAGTACGATACATTAAAAGATAAGGGATACCACAATTTAAAACAAAACAAAAAAACCAAAACCCCCAGACCTTTTCAAAAGGGCAACTTACCTGATTCAGGACTGGTTTGATTGCAGCTGTTCACAATGCTGTTTGGTATCACTTTAGTGGAAGGTGCTTGGATTCGTGGCTGAGCTGGATTCAGATGTAACGAGTTTCCTAAAGTCATCCCGGACTGATTGAGCAGCCCACAGTTTCCAATAGGCTGCATCTGATTTATTAAGCCTGCAAGATGGTTATTTGGGCCAGGACTAGTGCAATGGCCAAAATTAGTGTTTGAATTCAGGCAGTGCATGCTTTCCCCTCTCAAAGGTAAATCCTGGGCCAGTGAATTCGGAAGAGTGCTCGAGGTCATCGTAGTATCTGTAAAATGTAGTTGGTTAGCAGAGCAAGGCAAAACCGTATTTGAGCTCCCACAACTAGAAATACTATTGCTGCTCATATGAGAGTTTTGGCAGCTCATGGATTGAAGTAACTGAGACATTGATGTGATGGGAAACGAAGCCTGGTTCTGCTTTCTTATCGAATCAGGCCCAGATTTTGTAACGCCAACTGAGCTGTCCAACTGAGACTGCCTAAGCAAACTCAACACTGTAGTGGTTGGGGGTTTCCTTTTCCTCAAAGGATCTTTTTGTTGAGACATAAGTTTATCTCGTAGTGCTGCTCGACCACTCTGCCCTTCGTTCGTTGGTAGAAGCACATTGGCGGTCGGTGGAAACATGGGGTTTAAAGTGCTATGTCCATCATTGCTGCTATTGCTGGCAACTATTCCAGAATTGCTACTGCTGTTATTGTTATTGTTACCAGCAAGTTTATTTTGATTTGCTAGCTGTGCTTTGGCTGCTGCTGAGAGTAAACTACTAGCTGGAAAAGAGGCAGCATTGTGCTGATTCAAGATCTGATTTAAAGGCATTCCCAGCAAGCCAGGTTGACTCTTCATGGACCCACTTCCGGTAGATGTAGGTGGAAAAGCTGCATTGCCCAAAGGGTTCAAAACATTACTCATTCCAGCAATCAGTGAGTTAGGAATGTCCTTATATTGGTGGAATCCATCTATCTTCATGGAAGGACTTGATGGCATGGATGGCCTAGGAGATCCTATTGTTGATCTTGGTGACCGAGGGGGGACTTTAATATTAGTACAAGATGACTGTGGTCCTACTGGCATCATGAAATTTCCATGATCTGAGGATGTGGAAGAAGAGCGTGATCTTTGGGGTGAAGCCTCAATCCTTCCAATTCCAGATCCCATCATGTGAACTGGTGACGTTACTGGTGAGGGCGAGAGAGAAGTTGAAGCAGAGTGCTGAACTCTTTGCATGTGGCTTCCGTGGTTTGTGTGACCAGGTTTTACAGTTGGCAAAGGGAGATTACTTGGTAAAGGAACAACAGCCGGAGGCATGCTTACATTCATCACAGGTACCTGAGAGTGGACATTTGAATGGTAAGTACTTGGATTCATTATAACAGGATTTTGATTTATGGGCTTGCTGGGAATGGGGTCAAGAATGCCAAGTGGATCCTTCTCTGATGTTAATGGCTTTTTCTGAAGTATACATGAAGAAGGTGGTGGTGGTGGTGGCAGCGGCGGTAGTGGTGGTGGGCCTTGAGGTGGTTTGTGGTGAAACACTGCTCGCGACATTTCCATATTAGCTGAAAAATTACACATGGGTTTTTTCATGGCTGGACTTTTGGTGGTCAGAGTTGGAGAAAGAGGTATATTAGTTCTTCCAGCCATTGCGCAAGATGACTGCACAGGAGAACCATGTAACATAACTGAGGGTGGGGAGAGAGGGGTCCTGTTCATGTGAACAGGGCTAGAATTGGGTGCTCCATGAAAATTGGAATTATTCCTTGTGAAAACATCTGGACTTCCAAGTGGATCTGTCCTAGGTGAGATTGAACCATCTCCATATATTTGTGATCCCGATGAAGCTGGACTGGGCATTCCTCCATGACTGCCACGATACGGCGACTTCTGCCCATGTTCATTATTGCCCAATCTCTGTCTAGGATAGACAGAATGAAGTTCTTGTTGGCTTGCAGTCATCTCTTGCACATATAACCTACCCATGGCATTTGAGGCTCCCATCATCAACTTGAAGGGAGTTTTACATTCTGGCATCACAGAATTCGTTATTCCTTCATGTGATTTATTCCTCACTAATCTTGGAGTTGCCGCTCGTGAAG